AACAAAGTTCTCTTTCCCTCTCTCTTTCTCTCTCTTTTTCTCTCTTTCTCACTATATATATATATATATGGATAAAATAAAATTATAAATGTTTAATTAAAAGTAATATTTACATATATTATATATATTATTATATTTTTTATCCATATGGAATAATAATTTAAACGAAAAATAAATAAATACAACCATATAATTACAAAAAATGAAAATAAAAATAAAAAACATGAAAATAAGATAAATGTTAAAAATATTTAAGTAAAATAGAAAAATAGTTATGTAAATGTAAATTAAAACAAAAATAATACTATTAAAACTATTATTTTATATAAAAATATAAATATGTAAATATATAAAATAAAACCAAACAACAATAACATATAGAAAATGTGAAATAATATGCATAGAAAATTGAAGGAATGAAGTTAATGTAATTTAAAATTGTAAACTTTTTTTTATCCTTTATTTTTTTTATTCTTTAGTTTTATAACATACTACAATCGATACTTTATTTTATTAAATATGAAATGTATAATCCTATGTTTAGATAAAAAATATATTTGAAATTACTTCTAAAAATATGCATTCTTTATTAATGAAAAAAAAAAAAATTAATTTTTTAGGATATATCTATTTGATATTCATCTAAAATTAAAACATTATAACGAAAAACATAACTTCTTTTTTTGAATACAGTATAGTGATATACTTCCTACAAGTGCATTTTATATTTAACTAATCCTTTTTTATTATATTTAATTTTATTCTATAATATGAATCCGTTAAAAATGGTAAAAGAGAAAATAAAATCCATTATTATAAAATAATAAAAATTTCTTATAGGAGGAAACAAAAAAGGTTAAAGTTTTGAAAGTAAGCATTTGAATAATAAAACGATACAAAAGAAAAAAAAATTAAATAACGATAAAAAAAAAACTTTTAGTATATATAATTATTACATAATTATAAAACAAAAACTTAAAAATGACATCAAAAAGAAAAAAAAAAAAATAATAATGTAATTATAGAATATGTATCTATTTTGTTGTGATATTTATTTTTCGTTATTACCATAATCCTTCTAATGTTTAATTTAAATTAACTTCACATTTTTTATTGAATTAGTAATAATTGTCATAATAAATTAAACGAAGATAAAGTTGCATGCTTTGAATAAATAATTTTTAAAAAAAGAAAAATAAATAAAAAAATATATAAAAATAAAATTTTTTAAATCCCTATATATTTGTATCTAAATATAAACTATTCTAAAAATATTTTAAGTAAAAAAAAGAATATAACATTTTTTTTTTTCATATCTAAATAATTTTTTATATTATTCTCTTTTAATTTAAATAAAAAAATTAAATAAAAAAATGAAAAGGAATATTTTTTTTGTAAGTATAAAAGATTAATTAAAAATTTATTATTTTTTGATTANATAATTATAAAACAAAAACTTAAAAATGACATCAAAAAGAAAAAAAAAAAATAATAATGTATTTATAGAATATGTATCTATTTTGTTGTGATATTTATTTTTCGTTATTACCATAATCCTTCTAATGTTTAATTTAAATTAACTTCACATTTTTTATTGAATTAGTAATAATTGTCATAATAAATTAAACGAAGATAAAGTTGCATGCTTTGAATAAATAATTTTTAAAAAAAGAAAAATAAATAAAAAAATATATAAAAATAAAATTTTTTAAATCCCTATATATTTGTATCTAAATATAAACTATTCTAAAAATATTTTAAGTAAAAAAAAGAATATAACATTTTTTTTTTTCATATCTAAATAATTTTTTATATTATTCTCTTTTAATTTAAATAAAAAAATTAAATAAAAAAATGAAAAGGAATATTTTTTTTGTAAGTATAAAAGATTAATTAAAAATTTATTATTTTTTGATTATTTAAACAATATTTCTATTATGAAAAATATAATTAAAATTATATAATAAATAAGAAGTTATAGTATATAATTAATAATTTTAGGATTTAGGATGTAGGATTTAGAATTTTAAATTTAAAATTTTTATGTTTTAGTTATAGATTTAACTTTTTAATAGACATTTATTCGTTAAAATTTAAAAAAAAATTTTAAAACTAATTTTTTTCTCAATAATCATATTGTTTTAAGTTATTTGTTAATTTCTAATTTATATTTCCATATTTTTTGTTTTTAACTTATATTATCCTTACTAAAAGAAAAGAGAAATATTTTAAAAATCATTAAAAAAAATATTAGAAATAATTTATCAATAACATTTTTTACATTTTTAGTGATACCAAAAATGGATCCTAATCTTAGTGATGCTGCTAGTACTGATTCTAATGATAGTCTAAGTGAGGGAGATTCAACTGCAGCTTTCGCTCATAGTCAAATTAAAGATGCAGTTGTTTCAATACCAAAAAATCCATTATATGATGATTCGAATTTACGTAGTGCCATTCAAAATCCATCTGGAGATATCAAATTAGATTCAGCTAAATCAACAAATGTTCTTCATAAAAAGTCGTTAAGTTTTTTTCAGTTAGTTATCATTATTATTTCTATCCTTCGCTTTGCGGTAAAATAAAGTTTATAATTATAAACATTATATATATTATAAAAACAAAATTTTAAATCATTTGTAATAATTTATAGAGAGCTCGCTCTCCTAAATTGAAAGCTAAGCATAAAGAGAGAGTTAAGTTGCAGAATAAATGGGATAATAGGGATAAAAAGATGAAAGGTGATCGGGAAAAAATGCAGAAAAAATGGGATGAAAGGAAACAAAAAGAAAATAGAGAAAAGGAAGAGTTAAATAAAAAAGAAGAGGAAAGAAAAAAAAAGACAAATAATGAGATGAAAGAATTTAATATGAAATGGAATGGAGAAAAAGAAAGAGTAAATGATTCTGAAGATAAATCCTTGCAAATTTTGAATTCTTCTAGCGAAAGTAGAAAAAATATTGAGTCCTTGAATAAACCAAGTACAAGCCAAGCATGTAATATAACTGTTAAAATAAAGGAAAATAATAATATGCCTTCGGATAATAAAGAAGAAAAATTGAGAGAAAAATCCTCCAATAAAGTATATTCACAAATTGAACTTGAACTTGAAAGAAAGAGAATAGAAGCGTTCTATAAACAAATGTTTCAAATAGATGAGAAATGGAAAAGATATGAAGAGGAATGTAAAATGAAGTATGAATGGGAAAAAGGAGAAAGAAAAAAATTAGAAGAAATTAGAAGAGAAAGAAAGAGAAAACACGAAGAAAAAATGCTAAAAGAACAGGAAGAATGGAATAAGAGCATGAGAGAAAAAAAAAAAGAGTGGGAAAAGAGAATGCCAAAAGAAAAGGAAGAGTGGGAAAGGAGAATGCCAAAAGAAGAGGAATGGGGGGAAAATACAGTGCTAAAAGAAATGATGGATGAGTTGGAAAATAGAAGGCGAAAAGAATTGGAAGAGTTGGAAAAGAGAATGCAAAAAGAAAAGGAAGAGTTGGAAAAGAGAATACAAAAAGAAAAGGAAGAGTTGAAAAAGAAATTTCAAGAAGAAATAAAAGAAAAGGAAGAAGGGGGAAATAGAATGCTAAAAGAAACAAAAGAAAAGGAAGAGTGGGAAAAGGGAATGCAAGAAGAAAATGAAGAGTGGAAAAATATATTCCAAAAAGAAAAGGAAAAGTGGGAAAAGAAAATGCAAAAAGAAAAGGAAGAGTGGCAAAGAGAAGAAAATAGGAAAGTTAATGAAGAAGAAAGTAAGTTGCAATCAAAGTGGAGAAAAGAACTTGATAAGATAAGAAAAAAAGAAAGTAACAAAATAGAAAAAATATAAATACATATATAAATATTAATAGGAAAAAGCATTTATATAAGGTATTTATGAGTTTTTTTTTTTTTTTGAAAATGTAGTATCTTATTTACTTTTAAATGTTTACAGAAGAAGCTTGTTAAACTAAATTTTATATATTTTACCATTTTTATTTTATATAGCTTTTTATTTTCTAATTGTTTTATTTAATATTAAATAATTATTGTAGATAGCATCATTTAATATTTATATATTTCTGCTTCTATTAAAGATGAGGAATAACATAACTCAAAATGAAATATTCCTTAGTTTTCTTTCTAAAATTTGTTATGTATTTTAAATGTATGTGTTTTATGTATTATAAATTAATCATATGTATAGATAAAATGAAAGATTTACTTGTAGATAATTTTTAAAATATTGCTTTTTGTTAACCTAATACAAAGATGTCTCTATTATAATTTAAATGAAACTTTATTTCATTCTTATCCATTTTTATATCAGAAAGATAATTTATTATCCATTTGCATATTCTATAATTTACGTATCTGTTAAATATATAAAAAATATAATATTTTATTATATAAATACCATAAAATCTATTCAATTAACCAAAAAAAAAAAAAAAAAAAAAGAAAAAAAATAATATAGTTTTTCAAAAAAGAGGATATATAATATATATATTACTTGTATTTCAACTTTATATTTTAAAAGAGTCATTAAAATAAGATACAAAAAAATTTTAAACATAAAATATTATATAATATTTTTCTTATTGTAATTTTTGTTTATATTCCATTTATATTTATAAAAATGATTACATTTATTTTTAATAATATCATTTAATAGATTAATTTTTATTTTTCATCAATATACGGTGTAGCTTTGTTAATACTTTTATGCCAATATATCAATCTTAATAGTAAAATTGTAATAATTGAGTAAATGAAATATGTATAAAATTACCATCAATTAAATCTTTAAAATAATTTATATAATATAACTTATGTAACTATATATGTTGTAATATCTTATTTACAACTTATAATCCAGTGTTCAATTTCTTTTTTATGTTATCTTAATTTTTTGAAGCTGAAATTTTCATTTTATCATAGTTAACTTTTTTTTTTAATTTTAATAGATTTTTCCAATTTAAATAAGTAATAATATCATACAAAATAGAATAATTCCTTAATTAAAATAACAACTTTAAGTAACATCTACCATTTATCTAAATTTTTTTTTTTCATTAATTAAATAAACTTAAGAAATACAGTGAATAAGGTGGTTAATGAAAAGAATTATCAACATTATCAGATAAAAGTTGTGACGTGAATCTGCAAAAATGTGAAATTTGAGAACTTATAAAATTTTTTTTTTTTAGAAGCAAATCTATCTAAAAATATAAAAAAATGTATATACATAGATGTGAACTCAAGAGAATAATATTTTTTACAGAGAACTTCATTAACAACATGTACATATTTATATCTTCTTAATACCTTGTATATACAATGAAAAAATTAAAAATACAGAAATTAAATTTTTTTATTAAAGATGATTAATTTATTAATTGTCCTTTCAAATAAATTAATAGTATATTGAATAATCAAATTAATAAAAAACTTGTAAAATAATAACTACTAATTTTATTCTTTATAAAATCACCTTATATAAAAGATTTATTAATTTCCTATCCATTAACTTTTCTAGAGTATTGAACAGACATATTAATAAAGAGCATTTATAGATTCCTCTACTAATTTAGTGAATTTAAATATAATTTTTAAATGTTATAAACTACTAATCTGTTTTATATATAGTCTACTTCCTTGGACATTTCTTTTTTTTAAAAAATATTTATTTACTTTAATAAAATTCTCTGCTTTTATTAAAAATTTAATCCCTCATAGGACATTGACTCTTAATTTATATATATGATTTATAATGTTAGGAATAATGTTTAGTAACTCAAATCCGCTTCTTTCAAGTTAGCAAACATAAGCAATTAATGAGACACATTAAATTATATAAATATTACAAACATAAAAATTTTATTATTATGTATTGGTTAATAAAAGGCTTTATTAACCTTTTTGGTAATAAAAAGGACTAGCTATATGGTTAATAAAAGGCTTCATTAACCTTTTTGGAAAATAAAAGGACTAGTTAAATGAAGTATACGAAGTTGGTCATGCATACACACACAGAAAAACAAAAAAAATTGATGATTTTTTTGTTTGTACTTTTAAAAAAAAAAAGTACAAAGACTGTCAGGAAAAAAAAATTTGATAAAAAAAATGTAAAAATAGTCAGGAAAAAATTGTTTAAAAAAAAAAAAAAAAAAGAATTTTTTTTTTTAGAGAGGAATTAAATGAGATATTTTTTTTATGATGAATTTTGTAAAAGAAAATTTTATACATATAACAATAAAATTTTCATATAATTAATATTTATATAATTTATTTGTTTTTGTCAATAATTGTTTATGTTTGTTAATTCAACAGCAATATATATGAATTGCTGAATGTAACTCATAACAAATAAACTAGTAATTATAATAAATTAATAATTAATGTTCAATAAGGATTTAAATTTTTAATAAAAATAATCGTAGAGGCAACTTTACAAGCTCTTTATTAATTTGTTTGTTCAGTACTCTAGCAAAGTAACCGAACACCCAGTTGATAAATCAATTACTGAACAAACAAATTAATAGAGAGCATGTATAGTTGCCTCTACGATTTTGATGTATTTATATATATTTTTATATGCTTTGAATGAATGATTTTTAATTATATGATCTACTTCGTTCAGCATTCTTTGATTACAATAGGCATTTATTTACTTTAATAAAAATCCTTATTTTTATTAAAAATTTAAATCATTATTGAACATTGATTATTAATTAAATGTAAATTACTTGTTTATATGTTATGAGTTACATTCAGCAATAATATGTATTGCTGTTGAATTAACAAACATAAACAATTATTGACAATACAAAAAAAAATATATAAATATTAATTACATGAAAATTTTATTGTTATATGTATAAAATTATCTTTTACAAAATTCATCAAAATCATATTTCATTCCCCAAAAAAAAAATCTTTTTTTTTTTTTTTTTTTTTTTTCCGCGTGTGCACAACCAACTATGTATTCTTCATATAGCTAGTCCTTTTTATTACCAAAAAGGTTAATGAAGCCTTTTATTAACCAATACTCTAGCAGAGTCACGGAACACCCAATTAATAAATCAAGTAGCTATTTTAGTGTAAGCGTTTATGATTGCGCATTTTTTTTCGCTAATCAGCATGCACAAAATAAATTATTTTTATTCATTTATTTACTTATATATTATTTATAGATATGTACACTAAAAAAAAGAATCAATTTTCTTTTTTTGAAGGGTGTGTATATTAGTGTGAAGTATCTTAATAAAAGAGGTTGTTAACCTTTTTTCGAATGAAAATAAATAACTATAGGAAAATACATAGCCATGCAAGTGCTAGATGAAAAAAAGAAAAATTTATTAATTTTTTTTTGTTTTCTTTTTGTAAATTTGAAATACATAAAAAAATGTATTTATTTTTTTTTTCTGAAAAATATTTTTTTTGGTCAAGAATAAAAAAATAATGAATGAAAAATAATAAAGTTGTTAACTAAAAAGATTCTTTGTAGTGAATTTTTTTTTTTGAATTTTAAAGAGGAAATTTTACATAAATAGTAAAAAAATTCTCGTGTTTGTAATAATTATATAATTTAATTTCTATTTCATTAATTACATATGTTTTTTAACATAAAGAAGCTGGCTTGAGTTGCTAAACAGTATTAATAACATTATAAGTAAAAATATATTGAATTAAAAATTAATATTCAATGAGGATATAAATTTTTGATAAAAGTAGGGATTTCTATTAAAGTAAATAAATACCTGTTTAAAAACTATAAATGTTTATGGAGTAGACTACATATATAAAATAGTTTATTGGTTTATAACACTAAAATTATGCATAAATTCATTAAATAGTATAGGAAACTTTACATGTTCTTTATTAATATGTTTTCTCAATATTTGATTTATTAATTGGGTACTGTGGGTGACTTTGCTAGAGTACTGAACAAACAAATTAATAAAGAGCACGTTGGTTAATAAAAGGCTTTATTAACCTTTTTGGTAATAAAAAGGACTAGCTATATGAAGAATACATAGTTAGTCATGCACACGCAAGAAAAAAAAAAAAAAAAAAGATTTTTTTTTTGGGGAATGAAATATGATTTTGATGAATTTTGTAAAAGATAATTTTATACATATAACAATAAAATTTTCATGTAATTAATATTTATATATTTTTTTTTGTATTGTCAATAATTGTTTATGTTTGTTAATTCAACAGCAATACATATTATTGCTGAATGTAACTCATAACATATAAACAAGTAATTTACATTTAATTAATAATCAATGTTCAATAATGATTTAAATTTTTAATAAAAATAAGAATTTTTATTAAAGTAAATAAATGCCTATTGAAATTAAAGAATGCTGAATGAAGTTTGATTACATAATTAAGGATCACTCGTTCAAAGCATTTAAAAATATATATAAATATATCAAAACCGTAGAGGCAATTCTACATGCTTTTTATTAATCTGTTTGTTCAGTACGCTAACAAAGTCACCGAACACCCAATTAATAAAACAATTGTATACATGTAACGCACTAATAAATACATAGATAATTTTGAATTTCAAGAATTATATGCTCATTTTTATGATTCATCAATGATATTAATTTTAATTTTAAATAATGATACTCTTATAGTATTAAAAAGCATATATAATATTTTTTTTTATAAAATAATCTTTATTATATGCCTTGCATAAAATATGCGACTTATTAATAAAAGGAATAATTAACTTTTTTCAGAATAATAATTAATTTTCATGAAAAATATATAATTATTCACGCACAAACACTAGTTTAAAAAAAAAAAAAATTTGTTACTTTTTTATTATTTTGCAAATATTCATTTTATTAGTTTAAATATTATTTTATTTTTTAAATTAATTTTTTATGAGAGATTTTTTGGAAATAGTTTTTATCTAAAGTTTTTTGTTATAGATCATTTTATACTTTTGAAAATAAAAATTTCATTGTTAAAATAAGTTAATATTATTTAATTTTGTGTTTTAATATATACTTATTTTTCTAAATTTAAAAACAATAAACTTGAAATTCTAAGCATTTATTCATAAAATTATAATTAAAAAATCTGTACTTAGAAATCGTAGTCAATGAGAATTTGTTTTTTTTAATAAAAATACAGGCTTTTTATTAAGGTAAATAAATATTTCTTAAAAACAATATAATCTCATTGAAACAAATTAAAAAAATAAAGTTCACTTGTATGTAGCTTTTATATAACATTTAAATTAATTAAACTAGTAGAGTGGTTTATTACTTGTCTGTTTGGTAACTTTATTAGAGTATTAAACAAACAGATTAGTAAAGAGCACGTAGAGTTATCTGTAATAATGTAATGAATTTAAATTTAGTTTTAATGCTATAAACTACTAAACTGTATTTATGTAGTTTACTTCATTGGGTATTTATTCTTTTTAAGAGACTTTTATTTAATAACAATCCTATATTTTTACTAAAACTTTAAATTTTCATTAGTTATCGATTTTAATTGCATATATTATATTTATAATATTATGAGTAATGTTTATATATTTCAACAAATTTTCATCAAACTGAAGTAAATAGCTAACAAAACACAAAATAAATTATAAAAATACTACAAAACATAAAAATTTTATTTTTGTTGATGTAAAATTTTCTTAAATAAGTTTGAACAAAAACATACTACAAGAAACTTTTTAGTGAGCAACTCTTCTTTTTAATTTTTCTAACAATTAAAAATAATTTAAAAAAGAAAAAATTTTTTTTATATTTTTTAAAATACAAAAGTAAAAAAAAATTAACAATTATTTTTTTTATATCTAGAACTTGCATAGCTCACTATTTATTTTCTATACTGCTATTACTTCTTATTCTTAAAAATATTAATAATGTCTTTTATTAACTATGGAAAAAACTCTACATGCTCCCTATTAACATGTTGATTCATTACTCCAGCAAAGTCATTGAACAGATTATTAATAAATTAGCATGTGGAAAAAAAATTTTTATGGAAATATTTTTTTTAAAAAAAAAAAAAATTTTAAATATATCTTATACATATTTAAAAATATAATACTAATTATCTGTAATCTTATTCTTTTATAATTTATGCTACGCTTATATAGTTTATATAATCATAAATGATCTATTTTTTTTTTTTTTTTTTTACATTAAAATTTACATATATATATATATTTCTTTATTTTATTTTAAAATGTGTGTTACAACAATTTTATTTTAATTAAAAATGGAATAATAATATTTTATTTTTAAATTACAAAGATATATACTGCTAAAGAAACAATGAAAGATTCTTCTTATGTTCATTTTTAATAACAAAAATTGACATATAAGTTTTTCTGGTTACATAATATGCTTACAATACTTTAATTTTTTGTATTATAAGAAAAATACTTAAAACGACAATAGAAGTAAAGCAACATAACTAAATATAAGATTAAATCAAATTAATATTGAGTTTATTTATGATATGTAATACGGAATTATGTTATAATATCTTTTTATTATGTAGTTAAAAGACTTTAAACTTTTTTGAGAATAAAATGTGGTGGCTATTTAGAAAATAAATATCTATCCATGCAAACATAAGATAAAAAAAAAAAAAAATTAGCTGATTTTTTTTGATTCCTTTTATATATTTGAGATTTGAGAGCAACGAATTTGAATTACTAAGTATCACTCATAACCTTATAAATAAAATATATATAATTAAAATAAATAATTAATGATGATTTAAATTTTTAATAAAAATAGGTGTTTTTATTAAAGAAATTATATACCTATTAAAAGCAATAAACGATCAACGAAGTATACTATATATAAAAAATATTACAGATTCATAGCATTATAACTATACATAAATTAATTAAAATAGTAGAGGAAACCCTACGTGCTCTTTACTAATATGTTTGTTCAATATTATAGTAAAGTCAATATATTGATAATTAATGAATTATTATTAATATTATCCTTAATAAATTATATTATAAAAAATCTTTATCATACTGAAGATTTTACAAATATTTTATCGTATTTTAAATTTTAATCTATATATAATAAAATAATTTTTTAACCTATACTTCAACTGCTATCTTTCTTCCTGCAATCATCATAATTTTCTTTTATTATTATCACCATAAGCAGAACTTCATAATTATAATTCTTCAGATTAAACAGCTTTATATTATAGAAGTACTTTGTAAAGTCACATTCAATATTATTGTTGTTTTATGATATGAACATATATAACTTTTTATTTCATTTTTTTTATTAGTGTAGTAGAAAAAAATATATAACTAAATTCTTAAATTATAGCTCCCTCATAGATACTTTTATTAAATAATAAAATTTCCATTAATTATATTTCATGATATATATTTCATTCATTTTGTAATTCAAATATTTACAAAAAATAGTATATTCTTATATTTAACTTAATTATCAAAAAACAATATCACCTTATTCAAAGTTAAACATTTATCCATATTATTTTCATTATCATTTACATTACTATAATTTCATTTATTATTAAAAACTAAACTTAGATGATATTGTAATGTGATTATTTTTAACTATTTTTTTTTTTTTTTTTTTTTTGAGTTCTTACTTTATTTAAACTAATTATAGCTATAACTAATTTTTTCTTATTTTTAACTAAAAAGTGCTTTTTCCCATTTTTATTAACAATTATAAAAGACAAAAATATTAATATAATGCTACGTCACCTTAAATGGAAATTATTTATCACCATATATATTCTTTTTTTTACAAATATATTAAATTCTTATATATAAATAAGTATATATATATATATATTTATACTAATAAGATTATAAAATACTTTTTCTTTAACAGAATTTTTTTTTCTTCGTTGAAATTTTTTTAAATTTTACAACTCTTCATTATTGTATGTTCTTTTACCACTAAAATAACATATGTTCTTCACTAAAAAGTATAAAATATTCTACGAAAAAAGAGAATAGATGAAAAAAATTAATACTTATTAAAACTATAGCATAATTTGATTTTATTTTAAATAATATTTATGTGCAAAGATAACATATTCATACATTTTTATTTATATATAAAACTTGAAATACCTTTTTCATATTTAAAAGAAAAAACTTTGAATTAATTAACAAATATCCCAAATAATGCTTCTATTTCTCTACAAAAGAATCATTAAATATTAAAATTTGAATAAAGTGAAATTTATTTTTATTAAAAAGGAAATTGAATATTCTCTTTTGTGTTAACATTACATTCAAAAGTTCATTTTTATGATGTACAAAAGCACACCTTCATTACACCCTCACTTAAAATATAAAAAAAAATTTACATTTTTGAAGTTAGAATTATACATTGTGGCATGTGAATATTCTAAAACAGATATTGCTCATTTACGCATTTAACTATGAACATATTTAAATATACTTAAATTTTTTGTAAATACAAATTATGTATGTTTGAAATTAAATAACAAAAATAAGATTAAGTTTCCATAGCATTTATTTGTAATATTCACTTTTCAAATTCTACTTATTATATGAATTGAAATTAATTAAAGGATATTATTTTCAATATATTTTGTAATACTTAAAAATACATATCCATTTAACAGACAATCAAGATAAAAAAAAAAAAAAAAAAAAAGATTAAAAAGCTATCATAAAAACATTCTTTATATAATCCTCTTTGAATTATATCAGCACATTTTTAATTATTACATTACATTTTCAATTGTTGAAAATCGTAAAAATACACCGTCTTTAATAAATAAAAGTTTCCTTATAAAAAGAATAAAAAATTCACTTATACAAAATTTTTCTTACTCACAAAAAAATTAAATATCTACTGTGCAATAAAATTATATAAATGTATATATATATATATATATATATATATTTTTTTTTTTTTTTTTTTTTTTTTTTTTTTATATATATATAAATAATCAAAATAAAATAATAAAAAAACGTAAAATTCTTTCAAATAAAAAAAAAAAAAAAAACACTAATATTGTCTAAAACCTAAAGTCTTCTTATTCTAAAGAGACTAATTATTAATTTTTTTTAAAAATAGTTGTCCATCTATGCTAATAACTATTTAGCATATATCATATTAATATACGGATTACTTATATATATATATATATATGAAAATTAATCTTCAACTTTTACTTTCAATAATTTTAGTTTTCATCTCCTTGTTCACTATTTTTTGTTTCTTCATTAGAATTTTTTTCTGCAGGTTCTTCTTCTTCACTTTCACCTCTCTTTTTAGTATATATTCCAAGTCCAACTGCACTAGCTATAAGTACTGCTAATCCAGTAGCAATTGATGAAATTAACAATAATTTTTCGTTTCTCTTCTTCTTTTCTATATCTAAATCAACTTTTGCCAATGAAGCTTCATCTAATGCACTGCTTGGTACTTGAATAATTTGTTCACTAGGAGCATTTTCATTATCACAGTGGCATGGATTAAAATATTTAACAGCGAGAAAAACGGAGAAAATGAATAAAACCTTTGAAAATTTCATTTTAAATTAAAAGAAATATTTAAAAATAAAGTTTTTCTAGAAAACAAATGCAAAAAAATAATAAATGTTATGAACGAATTTTAAAAGTATTTTTATTTTGACAAAGAAAATATTTAAAATAAAATTTTTTTATGACAATGTTTTTTTTTTTTTTCTGTATATTTTACTTTTTAATTTATTTTTTTATTTATAATTTCAACTATAAAAATATTTAAAAAATATAACTTACAATTTTCTCCTTGAAAACTTTTTAATTTTTTTGATTTAATTTTTTTTTTTTTTAATTTGCATGCAATATTTTCAAACCGTAAAATACTATATTTTCTCTTTTTTTTCTCGTGTGTCACTTTTTTATACATGAAATAAAAGTTAAATTAGTTATATTTGATCATTTTTATATAAATAAAAAAATAATTTTTTTTCTTCCTTAGGGATTTATTATAATTAATATATTATAAATCAAAATAGTAAAATTAAATACTATTCTTATGAGTAATTATTTAGTTGAAAGATTAAATTTTTATTAGTATAATAATATTTTTTAATGTATTTCACAATTATTTAATTCATTTACTATTAGAACTATTGCATGCAATTTTATAAAATATATAAGGTAGTATTATATAAATATATTTACTTTTTTTTTTTTTTCAATACTAAAAAGTATCTTAATAATTATAAATATACACTTTTTTATATAAGGTAAAAATAATAAAATAATAGAAGTATAATCAAAAGTAAATAATCATCATATTAAATATAATAAATATTTGAATTTCGAAGAATATATATATTTTACTTTTAATCATTAATATTAGAGTGCTTTTTCTCCATATATATATTTATTAGAGCATTTATTTTTGAAAAAGATAAAATATATAAAATATTTACAATCTTATGAATTTAAAGTTCTTATGTAAAGTGAATATATTGTTTTTGTTTCTTCAATTTGTGTTTATACTAGTATAAAATTGTACATATATAATTATCAAATTTATATTTAATCCAATAAAAATATATTTAGCGCAATACTAAAATTTATTACTTTTCTAATTTAAATTGTAATTTTATTAGACATAAAAAATTATAATTATTAATTTTTTTTTTTTTTTCATATGTTCTATGAACTCATATATAAGGAAATAGTAAATGTTATATAAGATTGAATTTGTTTTTTATTACTTTTAAAATATAACCACTTTGTCTATACATTATAGAATTATAATTAAATAAAATTCTTCAATAAATATTAATTTTTTAACATAAATTGAATCACTTTATCAAAATCTTAATATATAATAATAAAATGCTAAAATGAATGCTTTTTTATATATAAAAATTTTTTGGAAAAGTGAATTTTTTATGAATTTATTTTAATCTACCAAATACTAAAATTTGAATAATCTTTATTTCTATTTTTTATTCAAAAAAAAAAAAATTTTTACCCGCTGAAAATATAGTATGAAATAATTATAGCTATACTCTTTTAATACTTCATATGCATACATTTTAAAGTACTTTTTTTTTTATGAAACTATTCAAATTATCTTTTTATTCTAAGCATTTTTTTTTAAAATAGAAAAACTGTTATATTTCATTATAAAAATTCAAACATTAAAAATGGAAAACCAAACTTAAGTAATTAAAAAATTGTATGAAAAATTTAAAAATAGTTTATTATAACATTATTTTATCCTGAGTAGATAAAATTTATTTTAATATTAAATGAGTTAATGTAGTTTTCAATTAACCCCATTCACATGTAAAAAGATTTTGTGTACACATAAAATCAATAAAAATGTTCTACAAAAATAATTTTTAAAAGATTGTAAAATCCTTCATATTAAACTACACATGTACGAAACATTAACTTGAGAAAATATATTTATGAACATTATATCTATTATATATCTTCTTTCTTCTTTTATCTATGTGTTATCATGAATAAATTATTTGGAGTATTTAATAAACAATTTGATTGTTAACTGATTAATAAAAGACTTTGTTAACCTTTTTGAGAATAAAATTAAATAGCTGCACGGAAAATATTTGTCAGCCATACATAAATTCTATATAAAGAAAAAATTAAAATTTTATTTTTTTTCATTTCTTATTATAAGTTAATTATATTTTATTATAAATTTTTTTTTTTTTTGAGTTTAAAACTTTTTGGAGAAAATTTTATATACTTTCAATAATAAAATTTTTGTTATTCTTAATAATTATTTAATTTGAGTTTGTGTTTTAATATTTAAACGTTTTTGTTAATCGTAAAAGGAATGGACTTGCATTACTAACATTATTTATAAAATTATAATTAAAAGATTTTGTACTTAAAAATCAATAATTAATATGTATTTATATTTATAACAAAAATATAAGATTTTTATTAAATTGAATAAATTCCTCTTAAAAACTATAAATGTTTAATGAATTAGACTACATAAATACAGTTTAACGCTTTATGGAATTTAAAACTGTATTTAAATTAATTAAAAAAGTAAATTCTACATGATCTTTATTAATTTATTTGTTCAATACTCTAGCAAAGTCATTGAATGAGAAATTACTAAATCATCAATACATAAAATATATTCAAAAAAAATTATCTTTAAAAGTAAATTTTTTTTTAATTAATATCTATAATATATTTAATATATTATTATTTTAATAAAATTTCTATAAATATAATTTTTTTAAAATTATTAGAAACAAAGAATGTTATAAAAAAATTTATATGAGAATGCTAAGTGTTTCTTTTTATATTAATTTATATGTATAAATTAAACGTTAACTTTAAAAAATAAATTGCATTTATTCGGAAATTAAAATTTTAACTATATTAAATTATGTAGAAAACTGAATATATTTAATTTACCACAATAAGTTATATGACATGTTTTTTCCTCTAAATAACAAGAATTTCTTTTTTTTATTTCTCATCCAATAATTTTAATGCTTACATAAGTTAATTTTTATTCTTTTTTTTTTTTTTTTTTTTAATTCTTTTATATATTTTTTCAAAAATAATTATTTTCTGTATTAATTTTACTTATTATTTCTTTCTTTTATTCACAAAATGGTGCAATATATTTTCTCAAGATAAATAAAAGGCGTATATAAATTAAAAAAAAAAAAAAATTATGTATTATAATTTAAAAATGCTTCACTTTTTTAAAGGTTATAGAAATAATCCAATTATATTTTTCAAAATATTTCTAATATGCTATTTATATTAAGAAAGGGTATGTCATTTTGTATTAAGAGTGTAATAATAAAAAATAAAGCTGATAATATATTAGCATTAATAGAAATATGATAAAACTCCAAAATATTTTAATGAAGAAAAATTATGAAAATATTATATGCTATCAGAAAGTTTACCTTTAAATTATAAATAATTTAAAAATAAAATTTATTTTTTAAAAATTTTTACCAAGAAAAAATATTTTTTTGTATTACCTTCTTTATAGAAATCATATATATTAATACGTCTATTATTGTTAAAATATACATATTATTTAGTATCATTTTAAGTATATATTTATATATAGTAGTGAAAATAACAACTAAAAAAATTAGCAGAATAACTAACAAACATTCTGATAATTTTAGTAATATGAAATACATTTTTTTTTATTTCATTTGTTTTTATCTTTTCTATAATGAAAGTTTTCATTTTTTTTAAATTTACTAAATAATTAATAAGAGCGTTATATCAAATAAAAATTCTTTGTTTCCATTATTTTATTGAAAATTCTGATGTTATACGTTTGGTAGGTTATAATTTAATTTATTATTTTATGTAATTATTTGTTGTATTTTATATTTTTTTTATTTCTCATCTTTAATATATCATAACTCTTTCTTTATGTGAAATATTTTTTGTTTAATAATTTTTTTCTTTCTATCAAGGTATTTCTTTGTGTATTTTCTTATTTCATTATTTTTATTATATTTATTGATTTCTAATTCATTTTTTTATTTTCTAATTTTTTTATAAAATTTTCAATATTAATATATATTCTTTCATAACTTTATAATTAGTAATAAGTAATAACTTTTTGCTTTTACGCATAATCTTCAGCTCCTGTCAATTTTCCCGTATATGTAAATTTTTTTTTTTATTTTATTTCATTATACAAGTGCTCTATAATATTATGTTTTATATTATTTACTTATTTCTTTTAGTATATTATCATTTACATTTAATGTCTTATTTATTGTTAAATGTTTCTTTGGCATGTAATTGACTTTATTTACTTTTTTTTTTTTTTTCTCTTTTTAAAATACTTTTCCTTTACGATTGATTCACAATTGTTTATTGAATTCTCAAAATTATATTTATATAAAATGATGATGCTATTAGCTATTTAATAGAGGAAATTTTTTATACATGGTACATATAATTCATTATCTATTATAATTTTTTTTTTTTAAGTGTTATTTAATTTTTAAATAATCTAGTAGTAATAATAATTAATTTAAAAGCAATTTGTAATATTTACTTAAGAATAATTAATGATAAACAGGGACATTTTTATTTAAAGCGTATGCAAATTCTATATAATTTTTTTTATTAAATAATTGTAATAAATTAGTTCTATATCAAATTTTATTATATCAATTTTTGAAAATTTTATTTTTAATTCACTTTATATCCGTGTTTTTTTTTTTTTTTTTTTATAAGTCTATTAATTTTTTTAATTATTTGAACCTTTATATCAAAATTTCACTAAATTATTGTTATTGATTAATTCCTTAGACTTTCTGTTTAAATATACTTTGGATATTTTTTAAAAAATCATAGATTTTATTTTTTTTGGCTATTATATAAATTACTTTTGATTTTTTTTTAATAATATTATTAGATTTAGCAAAGATATATTTGCATATATTTCCTTCCTATTTGATACCTATTTGCATTCTTTTGTAAACTATTAGGAATATTACTCTAACCATTTTTAGTTTTATAACTATTTTATTTTGCCATGATTTAT